TTCTAGACTAAATGTGAATGTGCATTAATTCATCCCACTCACAAAAAACAGATTTAGTATTCATCAAAATGAATTAAAACAGTGAAATGCAAACTCAGAATATGACGCAAACCTGCAATAATTAAATGTTAAATAGCACAAATGTATCTAATCCCATTTTATTAACCAATGTCTTTGCTGCTGACCTTTGATGATCTAGTTCAACCATACTAAGTAAAAATGATTTTAGATAAACTAACAATTGTGCTTCATTGTTTTTTTTATTGCTGAAGAGTGTTTCTTCTCCTGCGTTCTACTGTACAGACGTGAGTTCACTTTTGCTTCAGCCTGAGTTTTATTCATTACACTTTTTGGCGTGAAAGGGCTTTTATATTTGCTATAAATAGAACTCCTTATATTAAAAACAATCAAGCCCTGCTTATATTTAAAAAGTAACGCAAAAGTAATGTAACGCATTACTTTCCATAAAAAGTAACTAAGTAACGTAATTAGTTTTTAGGGAGTAACGCAATATTGTAATGCATTACTTTTAAAAGTAACTTTCCCCAACACTGCTCATAACACAGTAAAGGCATACAAATTCGAGGATCCCAAAACAACACACACCTGACACAACCGTGTTTCCACAACTCTGTCACACTCTCTGCCGCCCTCGTGTGGTTAAATGAGTGTATTACAGAAGTAAACAGTCTCTGGATTGTGTGTGAGATGGCTACATTGGTCAAAAAAGAAAATGGAGACAGAAAGACTGGAGAAGGGAGAATTCGGTGAGCCATTTTACTCGGGTCAGTACCATGAAACTGGACTCTGCTAGTCAACAAGCTCCCATAGAGTGCTGCAGTGATGTATTATTGTAGTCCAACCCATAAGTTAGCATCACGCTGGTTCCCTCCAAAAAAAACCCCAATAGGATTTCTCCATTGGCTTTTGGATTACTGCAGAAAATAAGCTCTGACCAAACAAAAGTTTATGATTCTTACATGTTTTGTTCATCACGATAATCCTCACAAATAAAATAAATCTTTTATGAAGGCCAAATACAAAACACTAGAAAATAAAAAGCTCAACGTAGGCTATAAACAAACTACACCACCAGTAAGCTTATGACAGCTCTTTCAAAACATTTATTTCAAAACAGTTGGCAAGAGAGCGATATATATCCTTATACTTCTTGGAAACTACACCTCTGAAGTCCCATTTAGCCATTTGTTAGCAACAGACGTTTTCAAGACAAGGGAGTATTATTGATGTATTTTATGTCGTTGAATAAAATGTGAAAATATCTTGAGCTTGTGTTAAACACAGACCAATTAACCCAAAAACCCATAAAAAAATCAGGATGATGAAACCGGATGTGCTAAAAGGCGTTTCCTGGTTTTGGCTTACAAAAATACGTCATCCCTGCAGCACTCTATTCACAAGATTCATGACTTCATTAGCATCTGGTGCTAAGGGTAATGTCATGAAAGACTTTGCAAACAGGACAAGAGAACCGGCTTTCAGAGCTTCACATTATGTGGATTCTTGAATCTCTTCATGTTCGATGTACCTCCTACAGTCAGATGGAGTAATTTCCTCACGCTCCAGTCACTCTTATAGGCAGTCAGGAGATGTCAAACCCTTTATTATGGTTTTCATGTTGAACAAACCCATGTTCCATTGACAGGAAGCCTCTGAGGAAGCGTCAGTCCTCACGCCAAGCAGCCTAGATGTGGACTAGGATGCAACAACTGATAGGTCGTTACAATGGTCCACATCTCCCACACATAGCAGCTGCAGTATGCACACTCGTGCCCTAGCAGAAGTCAGAGACGTAGTCAAAGTCCCTGAAGTAGTCCTGGTCTTTGCGCGAAAGGGTCCGGCGCTCACGAGGAGGCGTCAACGTTTGTGCTTCATTCGTAAACTCGGCGTCAAAGTTACTGACGTCTTCTTTTCCCTTCACTGCAGGAACGAAAGGAGGAGGAACTCGCCGCTGCAGAAGCGCCTCCCAGTCCATATTCTATAGAGTGAGAGAAGACGAGTCAGCCACGTCATCACTAGGATTGACACTTTGGCATTATTATATGGAGCCCCTATAGGGACATGGCGATGGAACAAAATATGAAATTACAAAAATATTGCATTTCCCCAAGAACCTTTTCACAAAAGTACTGCGTTCCCCCAAGCAACTTTACATACTCTCACAAAAGTATTGCGCTCCCCCAAGACACTTTGCATTCTCTCGCGAAACATCTGCATAATTCTGCATAGGTATTGGGTACAGCTGAGAAACCCTGTATTATTTCTATATTTCCTAGAGTTTTACAAGCCAGCGCAAATGTTTTGCAAGTAAAAGCAACGTTTCTTGGGGGAATGCAAACATTTAGCAAAAGATCGCAGAAACACTGAAATATACTCTTTCCTCCCATCTCATTTTTGTAACAATTGGGACAAAGTCTTCATACTCTAAAGAAGGGTTGTTTCTTGATGTCCTCTGCGTCTCTTTCACTGGAGCCCAGTCGTCTCTCAGGATTACGCCTCAGCAGCTACCGATGGGAAAACAAGGAAAGTTAACAAACCTGGCCAATCAGAGAACAGCTTTGGGGGAAAAAATACAGTCTTACCCGTCTCATGATGCCAATGGCCTCGGTGGAGAGGAATCTTGGGTAACGTTCTTCATCATTCACAATGCTGTTGAACACCTCCTCCTCATCATCACCTGGGAATGGCGACTGGACACGCACAGATTATGTATCAGAAATGTTTATCAGAAAACAAGACTTCTTATCTTACTATTTTACATCTCCAGTAAAAGTATGTTGATTTAAGACATTTTTGATATTTATACTGAAAACCACACAAAATTACTGAATCACATTTTGAGGTGAACTTCAGCAGATTTTGTTAGATTTAT